ACCAATGTCGGAGATACAGAGTCCAAATGTAACCGGTGTCCGAACTGTGATGCCGCCAAGTATCAACCCCAACAATCTCCAAGTCTCCAATCTGGTAAGTACCACAGTCTCATACCACCGAAGTCCAACACTGATCTTTGTCCACTAGTATAAGTCTCCAATCTGAAGAAGAAGAAGAAGAAGAAGAAGAAGAAGAAGAAGATGATGTCTGAAGAGAAGAAGAAGAAGAAGAAGAAGAAGAAGAAGAAGAAGAAGATGATGATGTCTGAAGAGAAGAAGAAGAAGAAGAAGAAGAAGAAGAAGAAGAAGAAGAAGAAGAAGGAGCCGAGGAGGAGAGAGAGAGAGAGAGGGGACTGGCGAAGGGAGGGAGGAGAGAGGCCTCCAACTCCCGATACCTCAGGCGGCTATGGCCGCCGGCACACTCAGTCGCCGCTGCTGCTGCTCGCTCGCTGCTGCTGCGCTAATGCTGCGCTGCTGCTCCTCGCTGCTCCTGCGCTAAACTTAGCGCCAACGCTGTATCGCGTTGTACCATACCGTACCGGTAGAATGCCGGTAGGTCGATAGCCTCACTGAGGCTGGACCGGTACGTTTGTACCGGTGGGCAAAGGTCGGCCTCTATGCTGCGAGGCCTGACCGTGCCCTGAACCGTCCAGATGGACGGTTCAGCCCCAACCGGCGGGCGGCAGCCTCAAGAGCGCCGCCAGGCCCAAACGATAATATCGTTTGGGCCGGCCCGTCGGGTCTGGTCCAAGGTAGGGCCTTTACGGCCTGTAGTACCCCCCAAGGTCGGGCCTTTGGCCCTACTGTGTCCCTCTACCCCTACGTCGGGTCCGGTAGGACTCGTGTGGCGTCGAAGATGTAACCCACTCCCCCTCTTAAAAGACCGAGCTACCTGCGAGGGCGAAGTTGTGTGTCCGATACCGGGGTGGGTTGGGCGGGACGAGCTGCTTCCTTGGCAAGGCGTCGCTTCTCATAGTCGGCGAAGATAAGGGGTGCAAAGTCTGCAAATTTGTACTGGAGATCCACCGAGTGTCATCAGGCGCACAGTGCTTGAATGTGACTTTGAACTGCATTGGCTTGTTGCCATACTTGCGATGCGTGATGACTCGGTCGACTTCCTGATGTCTGTCCATAGAAGGCGGATCCTGTGATCGACGTCCGGGAAATTCGTCAGCTGAAGGTGGCGTGTAGATGGCCAGCTTCGATGCGTGGAAGACCCGATGCACTGGAAGGTGCGGTGGAATGTTGATCACGAAGGAAGGACCTGCGGGGTCGTCTCCAACGGCAGAAGTGACTTCCCATGGTCCGAACCATTTCGGAAGGAGTTGGTGCGAAACGCCTGCTCGAGCGCAAATTCCTCGGAGAGGACCCAAACAAGGTCTCCCTCACGGAAAGGACATGGAAGTCGACGTCGGTTAGCCTGCTGCTGCATGCGGATCTGAGCCTTTTGCATATTTGCGCGGGCTTTGATCAGCAAGTCCCGGTACTTCCGAACGGAAGCGGTAGAGCAAGGGACGTCTATGTCGGCAGCCTGTGGCAAAAGGAGATCAGCGAAGATCCGTGCTTTCTCTCCACCATGATGTAACTCGAATGGTGTGATGCAGATCGCCGAGTGCACCGAAGTGTTGTAGGCGAACTCGATGTCGGGAAGCCGGTCAACCCAATCTTTCTGGTCGGGACGGATGAGCGTACGCAACATCATCTGAGCGGTCTGGTGTGCTCGCTTCGTCTGGCCATCCGTCTGCGGGTGCCGAGCCGAGCTCGGCTTCATTGTCGCACCGGACTCAGCCATGAGGGAAGTCCAAAAGGCCGACATGAAGCGAGTATCTCGGTCGCTCACTATGTCTTCCGAAACACGCTGGTTGGTAATCCAACCGGTGTGCAAGAGTCGTGCGAGCTCGGGCGCTGCAGCATGATACTTGCAAGGAAGGAAGCGAGCATACTTGCTCAAACGGTAAACGACCGTGAGAATCCCGTCATGGCCGTGTCGATCGCGGGGAAACGGGCCTGTCACGCCCATAGCAATGGAGAGGCGTGGTGCCCGAGGAATTGGCAACGGTTTCAGTTCGCCGAAGGGACTCGAGATCGACCCTTGTTACGGTGGCAAACTGCACATGACTCAATGTACCTCGTGACGCCATGAAGGACGTCGAGCCAGTGAAAACGCTGGCGGAGGCGTGCTAATGTGCGGTTCACGCCAAGGTGTGCCGAAAGTCGTGTGTCGTGGAATTCGCCCAGAAGACGAGTCCGTAAGATGCGATCTTGGGGCACAACTAACAGTCCTTTCCTCTCGTGTGAAGGAGAAGGAACCCGTCGGAAATCCGATAGTGGCTAGCCGGCGGGTGATCCGATGGAAGCTCCGCGTAAAGAGTAGAGTAAGTCGGATCGGACTTGTAGCCTTTGACGAAATGCGGCTGCAGATCGTCACCGAGGTCGAATGCCGTGGTCACAATGGCACAAAAGTCGGGCCGTCGTGAGAGGCCGTCCGCAGCTCGATTGGCGGGACCGGGAATGTGGCACGGGTCAAAGTTGAATTGGTCAATGTAATACATCCATCGACCGATCGTGCTAGTGACCGTATCCTGCGTTTTGTAAAAGGTCAACGGATTGTTGTCTGTATTCCATTTAAAACGCTGACGACCGAGAAGAAAGTGGCGCCACCGTTTGAGAACGGTGACGAACGCGAGTAGCTCTTTCTTCCTAGCGTCGTCGAGAGTGTTTACGAGAGGCACCTCTTGGGAGAAGTACTCGACCGGATGCCAACCGTCCTCGTGACACTGTTCCAACACCGCACCAATACCGTATCCCGAAGCGTCCGTAGTCACTTGGGTGGGAAGGGTGGGGTCATATATACGGAGGGCACGTGCGGCTTGCATTGCTGCCTTCAACGTAGTGAACGCGCCACGGGCTGCGTCGTCGAACTCGAAGGGCACCGTCGGGGATTGAAGTCTCGACAAAGGAGCAGCCACTTTCGAGTATGACTCGACGAATCGCCGATAGTATCCAGCCAATCCCATGAAAGAGCGTACATCCGTCGTGCAACGGGGTTCCGGCCAATCCACGATGGCTTGGATCTTGTCCGCTAAGGGACGAATGCCTTTCGGCGTGACAAAATGACCCAAGTACTCAAGCTCTTGCTTGGCGAATTCGCACTTGTCGAGATTCGCTTTGTACTTGGCTAGTTGCAAACGATCCAGAACAACGCGAAGGTGTACGATGTGCTCGTCCAACGTCCTTCTGTAAACCAAGATGTCATCAAGGTAGATGAGGACGCTGCGATCGAGCAAGTCGCGAAACTCAGTCGTCATCGCTGCTTGGAAAGTCGCGGGGGC